TACAAGTTCTGTAAGATTATTCTCTCATATTATTACACTCTCATACACACATAGGGACGGTTTCTTCTACCCACTAATTTGACAAGTATATTTGGATTGTCTTTAATCTAATCTAATCTAATCCAATGTTCAAAATTTATCTATTAAAATACTATAGAATTCACGAACCAATCTCCAAACATCCCTAATTACCTTATTAATCCCTAAAACATCTTCATAACCATCGCGATTTTGTGTCATCTTATTCCATTCTCCACCCCCTTCATATTCTCTCTGGCACAATTGAATCTCCAAACCACCGCATCATTTCTCAAAATTCAAATCACAGGTTTGTCAAAACAATATGCAGAAAATTGTGATGCAAAACACATCTTATGAAGGACCCACTTTAGAGATGAGTTTTTTGTACGGGAACAATGTGTTGAAAGGATGGGTTAGGGAGAATTACTAAGAATCTTAAGGTGAATGATGGGGCGGTGGTGTATTTGATGGCGGACGTGCCATTGGGGTTTGGGGTTGCTGCCAAGAACACGAAGGATTGTAGGAAAAAAAATTTGAATGAGATGGTGGTGCATGACCATGCTGATGTTAGAGTACTTAAGGATGGAGGATGAACACCAATTGATACACCGATTTTAGAAGAATTTGATAAATGGTGGTGTTGATTTAATGAACAAGATTTTTCCTATAACTTCAGTTATGTCAAGAATTTAGTGGATTCAAACCACTGCCATCCTCTCTTGATGCAAAACTTGAAGGCAGGGACGGATCCAGGACCGGATTATAGGCCGGGCTAATACGTAAAAAAAAAAAAAAAAATTACACATGATTATTACCCCCCCCCCCCAGCCCCCCCTCTATCCGTCCCTGCTTCAAGCTATTTGTGAAAATTTTGCTAATTTGCCGAGACATGGGAAGAATGATGTGTTAATTGGAGAGGAGCATGGGATGAGATGACGAAAAGTGTTGTTTCAAATGATGTATTAAATTGAGGATTTGGGTACGATAGTATCCCTGTGGGGGCCTCCTTATCATTTGTTTTTCCGTATTTTTGATGTAAAATTCGGGTTTAATTTGGTGTCAATTTGCAATGAAGTTTTTGCATTTTGATTTCCTTTTACTATTGTAAAATTAGGCACCGAGGCAATCAATTGTTAAGATCATTGCCTGCTTATTTTGATGATGCAAAGATGAACGCAATGCTTGTTTATTGATAATTTACGGCCACGCTAAACGCTTTGTGCACTAAAAAATGCTGGCAAAAATGATTAATGTTGTCAGATGATCATAGTAACCAATCATAGTGTTTATATTCGGGAAGTCGGAATTAAGAAGATGGACTAATAGCAGATGTCCATTGCAGAGTCCAAATACAGTGGATTAATAATGGAAATGTATAGTCTCAAATAATTAACCAAAACACTCTTGGAATAAGAAAGTGCAATACAAAATGTCTAGCTAGAATACTCGCATTTGTTTCACATTGAACGAAAGTGGATTCTATTAATAGAAAAACTACGGTATATCGGAAATACTAAGGAGAAATTGCAGTAAATCAGAAAATATTAAGAAGAATTGACAAATATTTAACTAGGATCACAGCAGTGATACATTCAGACTCAAGGTAAGAGATGGATCTTTCAACTTTGAATCAGAAATTGCCAAGCACTGGGTCTGTTTTGATTAATCTCTTGTCAACAACGTTCACCACCATCCATTAGCATTCATATGTACATTTACTAGTGCCCCATGGTACATCTCCAAGTGGTAAAAGGGGAAGGTGGAAAAACTCCAATTTTGCTTGAAGCTGTCACGTCAAGGGTTCGAATTCTGAAATATAGATTTGGCCATTGGGTAAGTGTAAGTGTACAAACAGTCTTCCATCATTTACCATTGAAGGTATAATCTGCGATTTATTTTCTTGACCAAGGCTCAAGACAAGGCAGGTGGGGGCCGTCAAGGATACGGCTCATCCTTTTTCATATGTACATTCACTAGAATTCACAAGATCAATATGGGGTCCACATAAATCTTCTGTTACCAACATTCTTTTGTGCATTGCTTGTCTTAAAATTATAACTCAAAATCCGAATAGTACATGAACGAAAAACAACTTAATACACAAACACATAAATTACTGATTTACCAGCGAAATAGAAAAAAAGTTTAAAAAGATACATGCTTTAGTTCATTTGCTTATTATGCTCATTTACATTTTTCTTAGGATTCTTGGGGCATATCTTCTTATCATGTCCCCATTTTTTGCATAATGCGCAATGATGCTTTTTATTTTATTTTTTGTGCCAACTCAATACTTGATTTGAACCTTCCTAAAGTAATATGGTCTTTTCCTTTTCCTTTCTCATCCTTCTTCCTTCCTTTTGTGATTGAAATATTGGGATTCGATATCACAAATTGAGATCTCTCCTCATTACAACTATCTAACTGATTTGGAGAAGTTTCTGAAAATTTTCTATTTCACTCGATCCTTCAACAATTGTTCCATTATAATATTTTCCTTCACGTGAGCACATAAATTTAATGAGGGTTACTTCATTTATACGTGGACGTGACTTAACTACTGTTCGAGTACGAATTCTGTCTTGAATTTCATCCCAATGTCAAGTGCTCGGCGTTGTATTGATGATCCAATCTCACCAATTTGAGACATATCTATACAATTGCCACAACTAGTTGCATCCATCTACAAATAAAATTTGGAAGAATTAGTCAATGATATTGAGTGCAAAGAATTACCCGTAATCAAATTTATTGTTGGATAAGTGATACCTATATTTTATTAAACAAATTTTACCATGCTTAATTTTCAAATTATTTCCTGTTGAACTAATAACATTTTACTAACACTTCAAATTATAACTCAATTTGAACATCTAAATCACAAATGAATCAAGCAATTAGCTTGATTAAAGGCTACGATTATTTGTCAAATACACTTATCAAATTAGTTGGTAAAAGGAACCGTCCTGTATATAAATAAATAAATAAAGAACTAGTTTCAAATTTTGTGTTTTTGAAGGGACAAAATTGCCCCCAAGTCACCTAACTTAAACTTAAAATCGCCTAAGTTTAATGTACTTCCTTTGAGCGAAAACTAATATTTGGAAATCCAAGCTCTCTTACTCACTTTTTCGCTCGATTTTTTGCTCCTAAATTGTTTGCAATAGTTGTAAAACCGAGTGGTACACGCAACAACGCTACTTTTCAAGCTTTGGATTTCGTCATATAGCGCACACACAAAAAAAAAAACCCCCCAAATTCAATAGAAATTTATTCTAATATAATCGAAATACTAACAAAATGACTAGTTAAGAAGTCGGGATAAGCATATAAATTATACAATTAACATCATCGTTTATAAAATATGACTTGCGTGCATTCAAAATTTGAGCATGTTGGGCAAATTATGCTTAAATTATAATTTAAGATGGTCAAACATACTTTTTATTCATACATTTTCGTAAGGTCGACAATTTATTACTTACTTATTAGTTATTACTCACACATTACATAGTATTCACAATTTATGAATGCCTAAAAGTACTAGTAAACATGCACAAAGATAATTAACTCGGTCCTTGTGTGTGGATTATATAATGAATTTCTCTCTATCTTTGGCACTTGTGTTGTATGGCTAGATTTATCAGTTTGACAAAGCATGGCAAACAAATCAGACCAATTGTTGGGTTAACATTTTTAGCCCTTAATTGGATTTGATAAAAATCGAATTTTCAGTAGATTTTGATAAAAATTGATAAAATACATCATTGCAAATTTGATAAAAATTGCAAGTTCCAAGAAATGTATAATTGAAAATGAGGTTACGAAAAAATGAATTTTAAGAAATAAGGGACACAGAGAAGTGCTACCGGGAAAGATCACATTTTTCATATGCCTAAAAGTGTTTTAATCTTTTTATGTTCTTAATAAATAAGTGTATAAAAAAACTAAAACATCGATCGCATTGGTTGAAATATAGGAAAAATTTGATGAAGTAGGCTCGAAGTGAAATTTTTCTTTCTTTTTTTTTTCCCCCAAAAAATACACTATTCAAAAAAATGATACTTTCGATATACAGCCAAGAACATCTATAAAAGTCTACATTGAAAACTTTTCTAAATGTTACCTAGTGATATCGAACTCACAAACCCTTTTGAATTGCCATTTCTTGGTACAACTCAAAAACGTAGGCATAATTAGTTAATTTGTCTTAAAACTTACAGGTAAACTTGCTATCTACCTCTTTTGAATTGTTAATGCAGCTAAAATCTGTGGATTCATTATTTTTTTGTCCGATAAAAACTTGTATAGGCAAGAAAATACGATACTAGATTTCTTTAAAAAAATCATATTACTCACCTAACTTATTAGACTTGTTTTCTCAGTAGACAGAAGTTATAATACCCATTTTGGGTATGGCAACACGTGGTGTTGCCACATCAACAGTCGGGGTAAAATATGGTAACACCATATATTGCCACACCCATAGTGGGCATTATAATTCTTACGCACAGTGGGCTTCCTTTTTTTCTTAATTGATTGAATATCGTAGTTTGAGGATGAAGGTGAAGGTGAAGGTGAAGGAATAAGAAAGGGTTGGAAGAGAAAATAAAGGAAAGCCAAATCACTATGAAGCCTGAAGTCCATGTTTTTGACATGCAAAACGTGTTTCATAAACACGACATATTTTGTGTTGAAGTTTGACATTTTTGATATGTTAAAACATTCCTATGAAATGTAGCTGTCGTACATTAGTTCTCTAGTGCTTCAAATATCTGTTTTATAGCCCTCCAAAAATAACTGAAAAAGTTCACACATCTCCCCACCCCACAAACCTGCTACAATATTGGAATGCCATATCAAAACTTCATCACATTCATTGCCTCCAAAACAATCAAATTATTTTCACAATTTCTGTAAACAAGTGAAGCCTCCTTTTCCCATCATTTTTCCATAACCCCATCTCATTTTTGCTAGAGATGGAGAAGACACCTAGAGGACACCGCCTATGGCCGCCACCTACGGCCACCCTCCTGGTTCTTTTCTACCTCTTTGTTGCTACCTTTGCTGCCTTTACCCCACCTGATAATTACCTTTTCGATTGTGGTGCATCGTCCTCCACCACCCCCTCGAATGATCGCATTTTTGTGAGTGATTCAGATGCAAGAAAATATTTAGCCTATAAAGGAAAAGACATTCAAGTTTCTATACCATCTGCCAATGTACCTTCACCCATTTATCTTTCAGCAAAAATCTTTGAAAAGGAATCCGCGGTTTATACCTTCCATGTTACTCAGCCGGGTTGGCATTGGATTCGCCTACATTTCTTCCCGGTGCAGAACACTAATCATGATTTGCAGAATGCCATGTTTAAGGTTAAGACAGATGAATTTGTCCTTGTACAAGAATTCAAGAACAATGAAAACCCGAAATGGACTTTTGAAGAGTACCTTGTTAATGTAACAACAGAGAGGTTTTCAATTATATTTGAGCCGGATGCTGATAGTTTTGCTTTCATTAATGCCATTGAGTTTGTTTCAGCCCCTGATATGCTGATTCAAGATTCTGGTTCAATGCTTTTCCCTAAAGGAGATTATTCCGGTTTAAGCAATAATGCGTTCCAAACCATATATAGGCTTAATGTGGGGGGACCGATCATCACCCCGGAAAATGACACCCTTGGAAGATCTTGGGAGTCTGACCATCAGTACCTTGATCCAGGTGTTACTGCATCGAATGTTTCCGTTGCACCAAATATAATTGCATATCCAGAGGGCGAATCACCTTTAATTGCTCCACCGGTAGTTTACGCATCAGCCATTGAAATGGCAGATGCCAACGTTCAGGTTCCTAATTTCAACATTACATGGAAAATGGACATTGATACTGCATTCACTTACCTTGTACGTCTGCATTTTTGTGACATTGTGAGCAAATCTATGAATGATCTCTACTTTAATGTGTATATCAATGGGAAGGCGGGTGTGACTGGGCTCGACTTGAGTACTCTTACGGGGAGCTTGGCATCGGCTTACTATACTGATATCGTCGTGAATTCTTCCATGGTTACAAGCCTTAGCCCGCTGACTGTTCAGATTGGTCCAATGAATGAAAACACGGGCACGAGAAATGCGCTCTTGAATGGTCTTGAGGTTTTCAGGGTGAACAATTCCGTTGGAAGCCTAGGAGGCGAGTTTGGTGCGGATGGAAAAACGACCAATGGTGCGGGGAAAGGCACGGTGGCAGCAGTTGGGTTTGCAATGATGTTTGGAGCTTTTGTCGGATTAGGTGCAATGGCTGTCAAATGGCAAAAGAGGCCTCAAGATTGGCAGAAGACAAAAAGCTTCTCTTCTTGGTTACTTCCTCTCCATGCAACTGATTCAAGCTTTGTGTCGAAGTCATTAGGTTCTCGGAAAAGTCAATTCTTTTCATCAACGATGGGATTAGGCCGATACTTTTCGTTTGCTGAACTGCAGGAAGCGACCCGGAATTGGGATCCAGCTGCAATTATCGGTGTTGGTGGATTTGGCAACGTCTATCTCGGAGAAACCGAAGATGGATTGAAAATAGCAGTGAAACGAGGCAACCCCCAATCCGAACAGGGCATTAATGAATTCCATACTGAGATACAAATGTTGTCCAAACTCAGGCATCGTCATTTAGTGTCCTTGATTGGATACTGTGATGAAAATTCTGAAATGATCCTCGTATATGAATATATGTCAAATGGACCTCTCCGGGATCACCTATATGGAAAGGACTTGCCATCTCTTTCTTGGAAGCAAAGGCTCGAAATCTGCATTGGGGCCGCTCGTGGGCTGCATTACCTGCACACAGGCGCGGCACAGGGCATCATTCATCGTGATGTCAAGTCCACAAACATCTTGCTCGACGACAATTTCATTGCGAAAATGGCTGATTTCGGCCTTTCCAAAAACGCTCCAACATCAGAACAAAATTATGTGAGCACAGCCGTGAAAGGGAGTTTTGGGTACTTGGATCCCGAATACTTCAGAAAACAACAACTTACTGACAAATCTGATGTGTACTCTTTCGGGGTCGTTCTTTTGGAGGCTTTATGTGCTCGTCCTGCCATTAATCCAGCATTGCCAAGAGAGCAAGTGAACTTGGCAGAATGGGCAATGCAGTGGAAGCGAAAAGGCCTACTTGAAAAGATTATCGATCCTACACTTGTTGGACATATCAATCCCGAGTCAATGAAGAAACTTGCTGAAGCTGCAGAGAAATGTTTGGCAGACTATGGTGTCGACAGACCTACCATGGGAGACGTGTTGTGGAATTTAGAGTACGCTTTGCAACTGCAAGAAGCATCGTCTATAGGAAAGGCCGAGGAAGAAAATCAGACGTCCCCAAATTCGGCATCTCCTCCCATAGTTTCTCCTCCTGCTGCTGCTGGTTTTGCATCAGATCATAGGCCTGCTTCTACAGCTGATGAGAATAGGAATCCAGCTGAAGTTCCAGCCATTAGTAATCACTCTGAAACTGCTATACGTGCAAATTTTTCTGCTCTCAGTGGCCGATAAGCAATATTAGCTCGTCTTATCAGATGGACTGTAAATAACTACATAGCATCCAACATTGAAGAAGAGGGAGGAATAAGCTAAAATCTTGTTCATTCTACGATCCAGTTATACCTAAAGATCTCGATTCTCATCAATTAGTACATTTTTGTTTTATCTTATGTATAATCCACTTTTCCTCACATGTGGTATACTGTTTGTATAGATATTGTTGTTACATTGTATATCATTTATAAGTATAAATTTGTATTCTATTATATGAGCTTTCTCACTTTGATTGTATCTAGGATCTTGGTTATTGTGGTAGAGGGTACGACTGTACATGATCACGAGTATTATTTCTTCTAAATTGTAAAATCGGCTTATTAGGGGAGGATTGCCCTCACCTTATTAAGTTGATCATTTATATTTTCTCAAACAATGTGAGATTCTGATACGCTCCCTCATGCACAGCGTGGACCATGCCAAACAACTGTGAACAAATCGATATTGGGTGGCACCCAACATTACATTATTGGGCCTAGCTCTGATACCACGTTAGGAATATTGGGTCTAACTCTACCTAATAAAACAGGCTTATTAGGGGAGGATTGCCCTCACCTTATTAAGTGGATCATTTATATTTTTTCGAGCAATGTGGGATTCTAATATAAATTCTAAGGCTATACAATATTTTTATATATTTCATACTTCTATTGATATAGAAGCCACCTTGATCCACCAATCAAAATCCCTGGTATGACGAGTGGCACATTAATCGGGATTGCTATTGTAGCTAGGAATGACCCAAGGGGTTGATAGCCGTAATTCCTCATTTCCTCCCCTATATAAAAGAGGACCAATTTTCATCTAACACATGAATTCAAATTTTCTTTCAACAACACACTTTTACGCTTACATACCTACCTTTGAGCTCAGACAAAGCATAAGTTCGACCTAGCTACATTCCAGATTTTCTTAATTTCATTTAAGTTGAATCGAGAGGTGTCACGTCACTTTTGGACACCAATAATTTCACACTAGAAGGAGGGTCTTTCCTTGTGAAGTAATTAGTCAAAATAAAAGTTCAAGGAGCCGCAACGGGTCTAGGACAAGAATGCGAAATGTGAATATCCCTGACAGTTTCACAAGGAGTTATGTCATAGAATCTTCTACGGGAAAAATGCCAACCAAATCGAAAACTTGACTAACGCCGTTCATAGGATTGAGCAAAATTAAACTTATCTAAATTATTATTTAGGGATTTAATTATCAAAAGTGCAATAATTCCTCGAATATTTGACATTATTAAATTTCTTTATATTTTCGTTTGATAATAAAAAAGAGCTTTTGTTCGGGTGAGATTTTTCCAAGTGAAAAAATATATATATATATATATATATTT